CTCAGTACCTCTCAGGTCTTTTTAGTGCTCCGGCTGATTCTGAGCAAGTTGGAAACAGATAGCACTCCAAGGATCAGAGCTGAATAATCAAGATGGAAAGGTGGAAGTTTTAAAAGCTATCCAAACCCTTACCTTTTTGAGGCTAACGGCAGTGTCACTTTGTTGAGGATTTTGACCGATGTTAATAACATATTGGCATCTGAAAGCAGACGTTTATTTGTGTATTAATAACATAAGATTAATGAGGTATCTTGACACTTTATAAAGATATGTTAAGGCCTTAAAAATCCTTCCTGAGGAAATTCAATCCCATTACAGATAGATGCAAAAAAAATTACAATTCTATACGTCTAGCTGCTTCCATTGTCAAGCTCACAGACTGATTTGCACAAAGAAAATATGCATTTCTAAAAGAGAAAACTTGCAGAAAATGGCTTATGCTACTCAGTGCTGCAGGACATTAATAACTGCAAGTAGAAGTTTTATTGCAGGTGTCCGACAGGTTGATTTGAGCAAACTCAGTGACTCTTAGCAACTTCAAAAATCTGTTCTGTGGAAGAATAACTTACTGTGAGAAGATCTTCTGATGCTCCTGTACTGGATCAGCTCCTTCAGGCCAATGTGAAATCCTCCCACCACACTGAAAACACTGAACAGTTTCCTCGTCACCTAGATACATTTTCAAGTTACATCTACACATCAGAAAGATCTTTACAAGACTGACTGTTTTCTACAAAGACCAGACTGTTGTAACCTGCTGCTGTCTGGTACAGGAGACTGCACTACAGTATATCCAGACTTCACCCTGTTCAAAATGTTGAAACGTGTCTCTCAACTTGAATTAAAAAAAAACAATACAGACTTTAAAGCATTTCTTCTGCTCCACAAAACACTAAAGGGTCTAACGCCCCTTTATTTAAGTGACCTGCTAAAACATTACAGACCAAGCAGAGCACAGTGGACCCAAGAAATTACAAAATAACTGCTGGGGGCAGTGTCTTTAGCTACAGGACCACTAAATTGTAGAACTTTCTGAAACAATCTAAGAGATACCCCTGTGCTATCAGAAGTTTTTTTTAATCGTTTCACTGCTATAAAAACAAACTTAATGGTTGGATTTAGAGGATATGGGAGATCACTCACATGTGCAGTACTTGTGAAAACATTAAAAAGTGTCCTTTATTACAATTCACAAACCAGCCCATTATTGCAATGCGCTCTCTCACCATTTAATGTTCCCACTGCCTGGATCCCAGCGCAAGAACATGACATTGAGCGTGTTGCACTCAAGTTAGCAGACCCAGGTAACCAGCCTGGACCTCACACCTTTTCCAGATTTAAGATAATCAATGTATAAAAAAAAACTCATTAGGGGAAAGAGGGGTGGGGGGCGTCGCCACTGGGGCCTGGGACCTCCAGAGGTTTCTTGTCACCCACGGGGGGGGGGGTTGTTTTCTTCTCTTTCCTGGCCACATGGTCAGGTGCCGTTTACCTGCTATAGCAATCTGTAAGGCACGCTGTGGCATTCTTTTACAAAGGGCTCTAGAGAAAACAAAAGACTGAACGACTGATTTAAAATTACCAGCCACACCAAAATTAAATTTGTCCACTAATTCCACAACAAAAACACTGATAAAAACACAACAAGTACAGCAGACTTTAGAAAAATCAGTTGCGATTATATATGGGATGAGCACATCAGTGTTTCTGTTAAAAATAAAATTGCTGGAAAAAGATTGTCCCTCAGCATTGACAGGGTTTTAAAACCAGGTGTTTTCTAAAATAAAATTGCTACTAAACTGATATGTATAAAAAGCCTGACATTGGGTGAGCACAGATGCAAGATGACAGTGTTGTCATTTTTAGATGTTTAAGTTACCATCCTTCACCTGTGTAGAAGAAGCCAGCTTTCGCCAGTTTGGATGGGACTGCAGCTGAGTCGCTTGGCCATTGGAAGTAGGACTCCATTCGAGAGCACTCATTCTCAAATATGTTCCGAAGGATCTCTTCTGACGAGGCTGTGGGGACGGAAATGGCCTAGGTGAGGGTATGGTAGCGCAGTGGTGAGCACTGCTGGCAAGCAACACTGAGCCAGAGGTTCAACTCCTGGGGTACCAAAGACATGCTGGTAGGTGAACTGGATTCTGCGAAAACTGGCCCTGCTGTGGGTGTGTGTCCCCTATGATGGACTGGGTGTCCAGGGTGTGTGCCTGGGCAGGTCTTGCACCTGTTGATTGCTGGGATTAGCTCAGGCTCTCCCATGACCCCGTACTGGCTGAAGCAGTTAAAAAATGGATTGATTGATATAATAATTCTAAATCCTGTCTGGAGTAAAGTTCAGGTTCTCCAGGTAGTCTTTATTAGACCAGTCATTCTGTACTCACCTTTCTGACTCTGCTCTGCTATCTCAGTTTCTTCACTCACTTTGTCGACAAAGTAATGCTTGGCCTATAGTCACATAAAAAAGAGTAACAGCATAATTAATGAAAAAGAATAATCCTGAGTTTGTTTCAGTGAGGGTCTTAAAACCAAATAAGGTGAAGAGACCATCTAAGATCCTCACATGAAGGACTGACTCACACAGTCAGGTATTTAAGGGCAACAATTTAAAAAGTTCAATTTTAAGAAATCAAGTTAATCTACTGCAGTAATTTAATAGAAATGATCAATGTTTGATACCCATTGTCAAATGAATACCAAATCATCCTGTATACGATTACCATAGTTTGCGGCTCATAATGACTGAATATTTTGTACATTTTTACACTGGTTCCATTCTTCACCCGTCTGCTCCTACTGTATTTAGTACCACCACCTACACCTCCTCATCGCGTTTATCTTGCGTATTTGTTTATTGCCGTTGTGTTTCTGTAAAGCGCTTCGAGAAGCCACCTTTAAAAGGTGCTATGTAAAAAAATGTATTATAAACTGTATAAGACAGCTTTGTCTAATATAAAATCGTATCTACTGTACACTCGTACTGTTATTCCATGGAATCCAACATAGGAACGGACATGTTCTAAAATCGCCCCTTCTGAGAGTCTGCTACGGAGGTAGTTGCACCTACGAAGAAAAAAATACATTTTTCAGTTTGGGATTGGGGTGGGGGGGTTATTCAGCTGATTTTCTCACTTTTAATTTTTGGCCAGAAACATCTCCGCTGACTACTGAAGAATGTAGGCTATAGGCAAATTCACTGGCAGGGCTTTAGACTGGGCAGCATGGTGGCACAGTGGTCAGCTTGGCTGTCTTGCACCACAGGGTTACGATTCCAGTGCAAGTCTGTGTGGAGTGTGTATGTTCTCCCTGGGCTTCTGTGCGTTTCGTGCAGGTGGCCAGAACAGAAGGAGAAGGAGTCTGGGCAGGAAAGGGTCTGTGTGACCTGAGAAATAGAGAGACAGAGGATCCTGTGTGGAGCCATAAAGTCTGGTTGAAATATACTTTGCAGATGAGTTTTTTTTTTATTTTCAAGGCCAATAAGCAGACTGGATATTAGTATTGGAGAGAGGAGAGAAGAGAAGAACTTGCTACACAGTTCAAAGCGGACCAGAACTTTTTCTCTGGTTAGATTTTGTTCTCCTGGGAGATTGGCCTCACTCCACTGTAAAACAGGTTCTACCTTTCGGGTGCACCATGACTCTCTCCCTGGGCCACAATTATAAAAAGATCGATTGTTAAAATGTCCCCATGGGAACATCACATACTCTACATTGGGTACCAGGTTACACATGCTGTCTCATGGGAGGCGGTCCCCTTCCTCTCCATTGTCAGATACGGAGGACAAGGGTACAGTTGTCTAGGGCTGAGAGACCACTGGACAACACACACTGTCCCAGTAAGTCCTACAAACTTCCACTGGGCTCATGTACGGCAAGTAGGGCATTCACTGCATGCATCTCATCACAGAAGGAAGCTGTTTTCCCATGCTGCGTGAGTAACGCGTGTTGTGCTCCTGGAACTGGGTCACGCTGAAACGAGCCTCTAACGTGTGCAGCAGTGCTCTCAGGGCCTGAACAAAGTACTAAAGTGCACTCAAGAGCTCTGTAGTGATTAGACACTCATATTTGTTTAGGCAGATCTGTTTCAGGCACCCATCAGTCCACACAAAGGCTCATTGCATTGATTCATTGCTAAAGAGGACTCTGCTCCACTGCAGGCAGGTGCACCAGAGGTGACCGACTCCAGCTTCCAGGTTCCAAGATGTAATGAGGTGGCTGAGCGCTAGTGGAACAG